GTCTCTGACTTCTTTTTTCATTGTCCTAATTGTGTTCCAATGAACAAAAGTTTGTGATTTTAAGGTGGTACAATTTATTATTTCTTTGTGTCCTGTTTAAAAATCTTTCCCAAGCCCTGCCTGTGTGGCTCAGTCATTTGGAGCATCATTCTGTAACCGAAGGGTCGTGAGTTTGATTCCTCATCAGGGAATATACCTAGATTTTGGGTTTGATTTCCAATCCAGATGTGTAAGATCCCTGGCACATACAGGAGGCAACCAACCGATGTTTCTCTCTCACATCAATGTTTCTCTCTCCCCTTCTCTACCTCTATAAAGCAATGAAAAAAAATGTTCTCAGGTGAGGATTAAAAACAAACTCTTTGCCAAGCCCAAGGTCATGAATACATTCTGCTATTTTTTGGAAGCTCTGTTGTTTTTCTTTTCATATTTAGACCAATAACCCACAAGATACCATTATATAACACCAAAACTTCTAAAATTAAAAAGACTGATAAAGTGCTGGGCGAAGATACGGAGAAATTGGAGTTCTCACACGCTATGGCTAGGGTGTTCAACTGACAATATATCCGAAAAATTGAACAAACAGTCCCACCCAAAAGGTTCATGTCTACATAAAACCCTAAAACAACTGTGTATGTATGTCCCTGAAAAAGCACATGTAAGAATGTTAATTAACTGCAGCAATATTGGTATCAGCCCTCCCAACTTGAGCACAAAAGTCAGAAGGCATTGGCTAAAAATAAATGGTAAAGATTTATTCAAGGTTTTTGAGTTTGCAAATCATAAACACAACTAGGTAATAGCTAGAGTGCTCTGAAGAAGAAAAACAGAGTTCTTATAGTACAAAGTATGTTCTGAAGAATCAGTCCTGCATTCTTAGCCTCCAGATTGGTCCAAGATGGTGATTTTCTAGCTCAGTGGTCCCCAACCTTTTTGGCACCAGGGACTGGTTTCATGGAAGTTTTTAACAGACAGGACAGGTAGGGGGGACACAGGTGGTGAAACTCAGGTGGTGATGTTTCACCCCTGCTGTGTGGCCCAGTTCCTAACAGGCCGCTGACCTGCACTGGTCAGCAGCGCAGGGACTGGGGACCCCTGCCCTAGATGACTGGTGTTCTGGTCTCTGTCTATTCTTTCCCAAGTCCTCCGGGGGATAACAGGAGGCTTATCTATAAGGACCTATATTATCTATACCTCCAGGCACAACTTGGGGGTTCAAAAGTTTTTTAAGTTCCCAGGTTAGTTCAAGTAAGAGATCATTTCTTCCGCCTCAGCCTACTTTAAGTAATTTAGCAGCTTGACTATAGTGACTCCACTTTATTTCCTCATTCATTCTTCAGCATCACAGCTTGGGGAGGCAATGGGAATGAAAGCAAGACATGTAAGCTGCTGTTATCTTTTGAGAACAAATGTTTTTATTCACTCACTTATTCATTCAATAGATGTTTACTGAATGTTTACTATGAATAAGCACTTGTCAATCTGGCCCATAGTATGTTCTAGAATTGTTCAAACATTAGCAGTAAGAATTTTCTCAGTGTAGCCCTAACACATTCTGCTAAGTGATGGCACAGGTATTATTCCCTCGTCTTCATGACATCACTGCAAGTAGGTGTTATCACCCTTACTCCTCAGACAAGACTGGAGGGGTAACTTGCTCACAACCACAGAACTAGAAAGTGGCAGAGCTGGGATTCACACCTGGCATTCTTTGTCTACTCACTACCACACACCTCGTCTATTAGCTGATAGTAGACACCCCTGCTGCATTTGGAGTTACCAAGGAAAAACTGAGGCTCTGCTGGGGGAACAGAAAGTCTCTTTAAAAATATTTTTTATGTCCTGGCTGGTGGGGCTCAGTGGGTTGAGTACTGGCCTGAGAAATGAAAGGTGGCTGGTTCGATTCCCAGTCAGGGCACATGCCTGGGTTTCAGGCCAGGTCCTTGGCTGGGGTCATGTGAAAGGCAACTGATCAATGTTTTTCTTGCATATGGATGTTTCTTTCCCTTTCTTTCTCCCTCCCTAAAAAATAAAATCTTAACAATTTTATTTCTGAAAAAATTTCTCACCAGAGAACATATTTATTGATGAGAGAGAGAGAGAGAGAGACATCGATCCATCGGTTTGCCCCAACTGGGGGATCAAACGTGCAATGCAGGTATGTGCCCTGACCAGAGATCAAACCTGCACACTTTTTGGCGTACAGGGCAATGCTCTAACTGAGCCACCTGGTCAGGGCAGGAAGAGCCTCATTTTTGAGAACATCCAATCCTGAGAAATGACCAACTCTTCTTTAGTAATGAGGGAACCCCGAGGGCATGAAATCCAGGCTTTACATAATCCTCAGTGTCTGGTGGCGGGCGGGGGGAGGGGGCGAACTCAGAGTTTCCCACCTTGGGCAGATAACCCAACCACTTAGAACTGTGGCAGGGCGGGCCCTTGCCCATAGAACTCCATGAGTATTTTGAAATTCAATTATTTACAGATTTATTGATAGTACCTGGAATATGTTTCAGACAGCACTAAATATAGGATGCTATTCTGCTTTACAAGTCAACACAAGTTCAAGCCAAAAGTTTCCTCCAGTCAAATTCCAGTGGATACTTTGCCGGCACTTGTCACATTCTAAAAGCAAAAGACCAGAACACAATTCTTCACAGTTCTAAAGGGGGACTACATCTCACATTCTCAAGAAAAATCTCCAGATCATAGCAAGGAAATGTCCACCCAAGAAGTTAACCCTTAAGGAAGAAAACGCTCCTTAGAATGGCCATTTATTTCTAGGAAATAATAAACTTGATCAGATTTTGCATCCCATTCAAGAATATCTTAAGCGTTTTAAGGCGTAATAGTCAACATTGTGAAACAAGCGTATTTATCCTCTGGATTCTGAAGTGTATGGAATGAAGTCAGATTAACCTATCACCTACCGGAGAGCTGGCAGGGGGTACGCAAGCTAACATTGGTGCCAGGTTTTCTATTGAACTGAAGAAAAAAATCCACTGCTAAAGAGACAGCGAGTTGATGGAAAGCCTTTACAAATGTCAATTAGTGAGCGGAAGTCTATTTTTAAATTCAGCTCTCTTCACTAAAATTGCTAAAAATGTCCACAGGGTAGAGAGATTAATGCCCATGGCCATTTTCCATTACCATGATGTCATAACGCAGCTGTGTTAAGACAGCAATAATCCTAAAAAGGGGCAGTTTTAGAGGCAAATATTTTTCTTTTGGAGGCCAAACAAAAAAGATAGGAGAGAAACAGTGGGAATGACTATATTCAGGAACAATAGGTTTTCCAAGTACATCGATCAGAAAAATAAGCTATTAAATCAAAGCTAATTATACAAGATTTTTTACTCTGATGAGGCTTAAAAACAGCAGATCCCAGGGAAATTAACTTGAAAATTTAAATTACTCAGGATTTCTAAGTTGTTTTCTATTTATATTAACCTAATTCTATCAGAACTAGCAAAATCAACTTTTCCTTAGCAAGCACATTGCTTTTTGTTATTTATGAAGTTAGTGCTTCCTCTTCCATGTTTACTATACTCAGTTCTTAAATACCACCATGATTAGAAATGAAAAATGATATTTTATATAAATCAATAATTAACATGTCCTACTCTATTCACCCCTTAATGGATGGATGTTATATAAGATAAAAAAAAAAAAAATTTTTTTTTTCACCACTCATTTTAAGCATATGGATGACTCTACAGGGTTGTCTCCACACTCATGCCCTCGCCTCTCTAAGCCCTTCCGATTGAGAGCACTGTGATGGCCTTAGCTGGTGCAGCTCAGAGGACTGAGCACTGGCCTACAAACCAAAGGTTGCTGGTTCGATTCCCAGCATAGGGCACTTGCCTTGGATTGCAAACCAGGTCCCCAGTAGGGGGCATTGTGAGATACAACCACACATTGATGTTTCTCTTCCACCCTTCCCTTCTCTAAAAATAAATAAAATCTTTAGGGAAAAAAAGAAACCCATTGTGATGGACAAAGATTTGATTTACAAACATACTTTGTGTTGCTCCTTTAAGTCTTTCCTATATGAAGGCAGAGTATGAATACATTTCGTACTCTATTTGATAGGCTCTCACTTTTATCCTGGGTGGGGAAAACTGAAGCCTGTTCTTAGGGTCAGAGCCTGGAGGCCCAGAGGCCAATGGCAAGGCTTACACAGTCAAGGAGCTGGGGAGGCCAGCCGAGGCTTTTCCCATCTCTATAAGGATATAGAAGCAGGCACTGTATCTTAAAAATGCTCTTGTTTTTTCACCAGTATGTTCTTTCCTTCCAAATATTTAATATGCTTCCTTCTGAAACTCTACGCCTGATTCAGCCATGAAAGGATCTGGATCTAGGCTAAAATGCAAACTGGAGGATGGCATGTGCCCCTGGGAAGCTGGTGGGAAAATCAGCTGCACCAATTCCAGAGACATGAAAATGAGGGAAAACCACCATGGTTTTCAGGCTAGCTTTAAAATGCCTCCCAAACTAGCTTTAGCCACACCTTGATCCCAAGTAGCTCTGACCTTGAACTGGAGGTAGCATACAGTCATTTGAATCCCAGGAAAAGACAGCCTGTTCTGTGGAAAATGCTGGAGGTGATTCTTCTTCCTTTTTGAAATACACACAAACCCCTTTGGAACAAGACTACCCAAGGTCCTGGGCTCTAAGGTGAGGACAGTGAGAAAGATGAAGTGTATTGCTAATCCACCACCCTTAGTTTGTATTCCCCACACAACATAATGTCAGCTTCCGAAGTTAAGGGTAAGACATGTTTGAAGAACGGGGAAGAGAGAATCTGGTGGATCAAATAAAGCACATCTATTATACGCAATGTCTGAAAAAATTTTCCTATTTGTTAAGAGAAAATAATGAATGCCGTAACAATCCCTTTCAATAGATTATGCTAATTGTTATAAATTTCCTTCATGTAGTCAGAGAAAAAGAGAGGAGGAGAGATAGTATTCTTCGAACTCTGCACAAAATAATTCATATAAAAAAATGCAATGGTACCATCAAATTTCCCCATCAGCTTCCTATGATTGGGTCAAAAAGTTTAACCGTAAGTTCTATGTATAAACATTACAGACAAGCTCTGTAAAACTTGGGGAGTCTAAGTTTTGTTTTGTTCCTGTTACTTCAAATACAAAAGAAGTAATAAATTAGAATCATTTAGATAGTCATGCCAGTTAGAGTCAGGTCTGATTCTTGCCTTTTAAAAATAATCTTAGTATTGTTCCACGTTTCCTTTTGATTCTGCAGGTTACAAGCTTTCTGGTTGACTGAGAAGCATTAGGCTGCACTCCCACTACCAACGATGTTTGTTTTTACTCTGAGTGATGAAGGTTTCTCAGGCAACAGTGGCTTTATTCCCACTGTGCAGAGCTGCAGCAGTGAGCTCCACACCATGTGGGGCGGTACTGTTCAGAGCTGTCGTCTCCCGAGCGATGAACACCGACACACAGGTTCTCAGACACCGGCTGGGCACCAGCACACTACGCACCTGCCCAACCCCAGGACTGCGTAACATTAACTCAAACAGGACGAAAACTCACAAACACTCTCATTCAGGTATAAGATATGGCCTTTTTTTTTTTTTTAAAGATAATTCATAAGTCTTAAAAAGTATCTTTTCCAGATTATAAAAGATTAGTTAAAACTGTTTAATAGGAATGATTTTGGACAAGCAGAAACAGCTCTGATTGGGAGGATTATGGCAACATACAACTGGGAAGAACTCCACAGGATGGTCAGATTGGACAGTCCGTACCTCTTCTAGAGACTCTGCATTAAAAAGACGACTTAATGGGACATTCTGCCCTCTTTCAAGGCACACGCCACTTCTGAAAACTGTCAGTTTTCCACACAGGCCATGAGATATTTTATTTACATTTAAAAATAGCTTTTCTTCTTCAGCCTAGTGGAAACGCCCAGAGACTAGTCACTGAAATCCCTCCCTAACACAGATGCAGAACAGCTTTGTTGATTTCTGGATTTGTCCAGTCATTCCGAATGTCATCTAGGTGGTTATCGAAATCGACGAGTGTTTCATAGGACCTGCTATCCAGGAGTGACGCTGAGATTCTCTGGGCCTCTGGCCAGTCTTCACAGTAATCACTACGAGGTGAAACAGGAGAAATCAACCTCTTAATGAAGAAAGGTTTAGCTTTTCAACAGAGGAAACAGAAAACCAGCCACACACAGAGTGGTATAAAGGAAGACGATACTGAATATTGGCAAATATGTACATTTTAAACACATAAAGATGTACACCAACAATAGAAAATCGTGGATGAGACACCCTCCAGATGAAATGCTGAAAAAACTGGGGGTAGATGACTGATAATTTCTGAGTGATTACAAATAAACCAAACCAAATGCCTGGAAAGAGGGTTTGGCTTATGGAGAGGTGCCCTGGGGCTTGGAAGACCCTGAGTAACACTCAGGTTCTCTCTACTGCTCTGAAGCCCTGTCGGCCTCAATCCCCCAGGAGCCCAGGAATACGCATGATTTCTGTATGAGGGCTGTATACTCCTCTGGAGAAAAGACTAATGGAAAAACATAGGATGCTGGGATCAGCTTTCCTGTGGGACCTGGGTGCCCGCAACAGGCCCCAACACATGGCACATAGGTCACTCTGAGAACACAGCACTCACTAGTGTGGGTCTCTGCACCGCCATTTGTTTTCATGGTGTTCGTACACATGGATCGTAGGTACCACACAGTCCATCGTAAACTTAGTGTTGTCTACCTGCGCACAAGACAAAGGACACAGTTGTGAACAGAGCTAACAAAAAGTCAAGAGCCAGCACCTTTCTAGAAGTCTTTAGGCACCTCCTCGTGGCCCACGGCAGAAACCCTGCCTGACAGTATACGGACACTGCAAATGTCATGTGTGCGGTTGCACCGCTGGTGTGACCTAAGGTAAACAATGTGTTATCCAGGATAAACACCATTTGTTTTGTTCACAAAAGTGGAACTTTCAAACATTACTTCTTCCCTCCCTGCTCGAATTCTGTCTGAATTGAGATTATTTAACAGGCTCTTACGAGGGGGGACTAAAAAAAGAAATCTAGAATTTATTTATAAAAAATTGTGTATTTATTCACGTTTAAACTTCGGTCACCTTCAAAGTACTCTCCATTTGATGCAACACACCGATCGAGGCTTTTTTCTACTACTCAGAACAGTTTCTGAACTTGTTGACTTTGATGCCTTTTAGTGCTTCTGTCATTTTCTCACCTCTTACACATCCGCAAAACGTTTCCCTTTAAGGGCTCTTCATCGAGGGAAACCAAAAAGGACGCTGGGGGGAAATCCACTGAATGAGGAGGGTGGGGCATGGGAGTCGTGCCATTTTTGGTCAAAAACTGCTGAATACTTACCAAGGTGGAGTAGGTACACCTGTAAATCACCCACCAAGAAAAGGGTAAATGTATTGAAAAGAGTCTTCAAAAACAATTCATTGAAACCGAATGCAGCCTCTCACAACACCAACTGGTACACAGATACAGATGGTTTCCTAGAATGTTCACCTAGCAGAGGAAGCCTGTACTACAAGGTGCCCACCCTGCACGAGATAGTTCCGTTTTTTGGGGGGGGTTCCCCCTTGTATGTCAGCTATTTATCTAACCTGACTCCTAACAGGTCCCCAGCTGGCGCGCACGCTGCCAATGTGGAGACCCCACTTTGAAAAGCACTGAACTGGAATGACTCCTCACTTTTTGGAGGTCAGTGTGCTGTGACTACAGAAGGCCACAATGGTCTCAAGTGTCTGTAGAAAGGAAGACTGCTTACATAGCAAAGCTCTATGTTCTCAAAACAATGCTCAGCAGCTATCCTGTTAAGATAGGATAGCTTACCCTACCTTAATAATGGGCAATCAAGAGAGACTTACCATGATGAGAGCGGTATCGCTGAAGCTCTCGGCAATCCTGGAGGCTACCTTTTCTGCAACCTGGTTTGGACTGCAAAAGAACCAGTTTACCACATACTAGTTAATGCCACTCAACACTGTCTGTCTACAGCATTGTAAGCAAGCAATAATAAAAAGACCAGTGGTCCTTCTGCAATGGCTTGTACTGAGAATAGGGAATGCTGTACGGGCAATGGGGAGCACAGTGCAAAGCAGGTCCTGTCCCCCCCCAACCCCTGCCGGGAAGTTCTTGTGAAGGTGATCCTCAGTAGGCATCTTCTAAACAGAAAGGCTCCCTGGACCCCCGTGGAGAGCACTGCCTAAAGCACTTAGATGAACTGCTGCTGAATGCTCCCAGTTAGTGTCCAGCTCTAGGCTGGAGGTCTCCTGGGCCCATCGTTTCCACCGGCAAGCTCTTGATGTAACTCCATCCACCTCTTCGCTGCTGGCAATTGAGGCTCTTTCTTTTTCTTTTAAAACAAATTTCTAAAATTCCCAAACCATTCCAATATTCTCCATGCCTGTTACCCTTCAATCGCTGGCTCTAGCTCTGTCCCCTCCAACCTTGATAAATGACAACCTCCTACCTTAAGTCAATAAAATTAATTATCGAGTGGCTCCGACATCATACCTGGCTACTCCCCATAAACAAAATTGCTTTCCCACCCTATGTCAGGAAGAGGCATCCTGACACCCATGGGCCCATTCACTCTGACCTCCTCCTCAGGGCCTTATTTATAATATATTCTTTCTGTCAAATCAGACAGAAAGAATTTGAGTAAGTCTTTTCCTTTTTAGGATAAAAAAATTATTTAACTCGTTCCCTCTAGCCACTGTGTAAACTCCTCCCTTTTAACCACATTTCTTAAGCTTCTTTAGTAAGTCAATGATGTCCCTCTTGCTCTAGTTTCTTACACAACTGTGCAATCTGGCTCTTCCCCCTTGCCTCTGTGGGCCAGCACCCTCGAAGCCTACCAAACACTTGCTGCCCTTTCAAGATCTCCCCAGTGGAATCGACCATGTCCAAGTGGGCGGGGCCTAGTTCTAATTTCTCTGATTGAAGTTACCCTTCCCACTCTGCTCCACTCCCCAGGCGCTGTAGATTCTTCCCTGGCCTCTGCCTCCTTCATTCTCTGTTGTCCATTTGTCCAGGCTATCACCACAACCAACAGGTTTCTAAAGTTGCTTCCTAACTGGTCTCAATTTCTAGGCTCTTCTCATCTGATACAGCCTGGAAACTCTCTTTAGATGAATTCTCCTAAAATAATTCTCCTAAAATAAAATGTTCACACTTTTCAAATTTTCAAATCCCCCCGCTACTCACCTCTGCTTGTAAGATAAAAGTGCACCTTTTTCAGACTGGCAAATCCAGGCGTTTCTTACCACCGACCAAGCTACCATTCCTACCCACAGGAACAAAGCTCTGTGTGCCTTTAATTTCATTAAATTATTACTTAGTTACTTATTTAGTAAAACTGTCTAAGTATCGCCTCCCTCATTCACACTGTCCTCTGTTTGGAATGCCCTTCTCTACCAATCTCTGCTTGCTGAATTCCTTCCCATCTTTAATGCCTAGAAAATGCCACCCTTTCTGGGAGGTGTTGCCAAGTTACCTTGGATGAGGTCTATTTGTCCCTTCTCTAAACAATGTTTACTTCTAAAGGCTTTGACACTTAATCCTTGGCATGCAGTTGTGGGTTTTTTTTCCATCTTATTTCCCCAGCGCAGTTAAGAGTCTCAGCTTTTTGAAGCAGGGTCTGAACTATGTATTTTAATCCCCACAGAACTACATTAATTACTTTGATTTTATTGAAAGAAACATACTATACAATTACAAACCTTTCCTTGTGATTGAACTGAAAAAAGATTAGTGTTTTATAAAAATAAATTATATTATCAAATTATTCTATTTTCATTTTTAAAATTGAGAATTTATAGTGATGTGTTGATTGTAAGTATTATGTTAAGAAAAATTACAACAAAAGTAAGAAATAGTTTGAGCCCTGGCTGGTGTGACTCAGTGGATTGAATGCTGGCCTGCAAACTGAAGGGCAGCCGGTTTGATTCCAGGTTGGGGCACACGCCTGGGTTGTGGGCCAGGTCCCCAGTTGGGGGTGTGCGAGGCAACTGGTTCATATTTTTCTCACACATAGATGTTTCTTTCCCTCTCTTTCTCCCCCCTTCCCCTCTAAAAATTAAAAAAAAAAAATTAAAGAGAAAGGGGCCGAGATTCTTGCCTATCAGGTTGGCACGAAAGCTCTCAAAGGAATATGCAGTGCTTCACTGTATACAAGTGCCAAGTTCCCACAGCTCAGATGGGAAATGGTGAGAAGCAGGTATAGGGCTGCACATTCATCCACTAAATGTAGAAAAGAAACACCCTGACTGCTTTGCATTGTTACTGGTCCAGAGTCACTTATACCTCAGGTGCAAAGGGAAAAGAAGTTGGCATTTGCTAAGTGCATGATCCTCTAGGGACTTGAAGGCATGTGCCATGAAGAAACTTACAAAAGTATTATCCTAACATTTATAATAATCATAGAAGTTGGTGACTTTTATTGGGAAGAGGAGTCAAGAAGCCTTCATTAAAAATAAGAACTACTATTGAAAGAATATAAGCACGCCTATGTTCATTGCAGGGTTATTTACAATTGCCAAGATATGGAGGCAGTCCAAGTATCCATCAATACATGAGTGGATAAAACAACTATGGGACATTTACACAACAGAATACTACTTCGCTGTAAAAAAGAAGAAAGTTTTACCCTTTGCAACAGTATGGATGGACCCAGAGAGCATTATACTAAGTGAAATAAGCCAGAGAAAGACAAATACCATATGATCTCACTCATATGTGGAATCTAATGAACTGAACAAACAAGGAAAATGGGGACAGACTCATAGAAGGAGAGCAGATGACAGCTAGTGGTGGGGGGAGGTCGGGGGTGGAGGGATTGAGCAAAAAGGAAAAAGGACTCATGGACATGGACTGTGGTGATTGCTGGGGGGAGGGGAGTAAGGGGACTAAATGATAATGGGGAAAAAAACCAATAAAGATAGATTCACGAATTAAAAACAAAAGAACTACCATTTGAGAAGCTCGAGAACTCAAATTTAAATTTTATTTTTGAAAAAAGTTTTTAAAAATTGTAGTTAATAATTGGCAAAGTATTTGGAAAAAACTGCCAATTTTGTTCACTTTTTCTGTATTTTGCACTTAGTCTTAGATACTGACCTACCTCCTTCCTAATGTGAAACTGTTGCATTATGATATTAATGTTCGTACTGTGTTTTCTGCCAGGCCACATCAACTCCTGCTCCTGCAGAGTCAGCTGCCAAATAAAACTGCAGGAACCCTGGAGACACAGACCACTTTGTTGAGCCTCTTCCCGACCAGCACAAAGTAGGCATTTACTCCTGAGATCTTATGTTTTAACAATTTGTATCTAAAAGCTTTTTAGCCCTGGCTGGTGTGGCTCAGTGGACTGAGTGCTGCTGGCCTGCGAACTGAAAGGTCGCTGGTTCAATTTCCAGTCAGGGCACATGCCTGGGTTGCAGGCTAGGTTCTCAGTGAGGGGCATGCAAGAGGCAACAGATTGATGTTTCTCTTCCTCTCTTTCTCCCCCACTTCCTCTCTCTCTAAAAATAAATAAAAATCTTAAAAGAAAATAAAAGCTTTTTACTGAGTATCTACCTCTAGCCAGGGCATAGTGCGTTGTACTGAAATTTACCAACATGAAATGCTAATTCTGATGCAAAACCAGTAATTATGACATGATATAATGAAACAATGCAAAAACCTTAAGTTTAGAAGATTAGTAAAATAGTTATAAACACCTTATATTTCTTTTTTTAAATGTTATAATGGTGAATGATTCTTTTCTGAAAAAAGTAATCAGAGGACTAATAATTGTACGAGCTCCTACTTTGAAGCAAGCACAAATCTAAAATGGTGCTTGTTGCTTCACTGTATCCTCACAACCACTCTCTGAGGTACAAACTTCTAGCTCCATTTTATAGATAGGACCACTGAGGCCATGGAGGTGAATCCGTTAGTCACCTAGGATTTGAAACTAAGTTCAACTGGCTCCAAAGCTTATGCTATAAGACACTGTTAATAAGCCAAGATATTTCTTAAAAAGCATATATTTAGCAAGGTCTGGCTGAAGAGAGAAGGAAAGATATTTAGGTAGAAGCAAAGGGCACTGAAGAAGGAAGTTGGCATGTCCCAGCTCCTGAGCTTCCAAGCTGTGTGTGGTCTCTGCATAGGGTCCATCTCTGGCTGGAGTTTCTTTACCTGAGCATCCTTGTGAGGATTAGACAGAACAACGCCAGTGAAGCCCCAGGCCAGGTACAGTGTTAAGGACTGCAGGCTTCCTCCTAACACAGCACAGGGCACCAGCACATTGGAGGGATGGATGAAATCCTGCAGTACAGCCAAGGGACTGGGGCTCAGACAGTGCCTCTGCGCTGTCATCCCGGCAGAGGCTCCCACAGGAGTTGTTTCGCTTGTTACCCTGCCTCCCTCAGAGTCCCTACTGGACCTAGTCCTCCAAGGGTAAGAGGGTTTTTAAGTCCCTGAAGTGCTTTTGTGTCTCATCAGTGATAGCAATACTTGGCCACCAGCGTACTGTATTATTTCCAAAAATGCTATTGCGTCCAACCTCCCGCCTGTGCTGGGCCAAGTGGACGTAATCCCAGCAGTTTAGGTCTGAGGTCCTTCACTGTATCCCCTAACTGCCTGAACACTGGAGTCAGTCCATGTGAGGAAAATGTGTCCGTGCCTCCCAGTATATACTGACTGCACGCCTTCCTCGCTTCCCACCTGCTCCCGGCTGAGGGAGGTCAAAGGGAGGCCAGGGCATGACTCCCCTGGGCCTCTCCCTGGGAGGTCACATCAGGCTGGAGGGCTACTGGCCATGTCCCTCCACCAAAGGGCAATATTTCTCCTGAGGATGACGTCTATTTTCTTAAAAAAATTTTTTTTCTATTCTCACAGACATGCAGTATTACATTAGATTCAGGTGTACCATATAGTAATTGGACATTTATATACTTACAAAGTGATCAGCCCCTAAGTCAAATACCCACCTGATACCAGACATGCAATAGTATTGACTACATTCCCTATGCTGTACTTTATATCCCTGTGACTGTTTTTATAACTGGCAATTTATACATCTTAATCCCTCCCTGAGGGACTTCTTTATTCCACTTTCCTCCCCATTCCATCAGGCCTAGGGGGTACTGGCCTTTTTTTTTTTTTAACCAGCTTTAGGTTACTGCATTACTCTCTCATGAGGTCTCTTACCTCCCACATCTTTGGAAGTAATCGCTTATTAAGCCCTCCTCAAACTATCCTAACTTTAGCATGTCATCTGTTTTTCTGTTGGGACTGAAACTGTGGCAGAAATGAAGCAGTTCTCTGCTTTACTCATTATTTAGGAAGGAACCAGGAGCCAATATGAAGGAAGCAACACATACCACATTTTCATCATAGTATCAGGCCCTTTACAGCACCAAACCTAAAATTTGTTTTACTAAACCCAAAAGAGAGTCGTATTTTCCCCCAATGCTCTGGCCTACATCATTCCTAGTTTGGGAGTGGGAAGCAAGGCAGAAGAGCTGAAGTAGGGGCAGAAGTTGGAGGCCCATGGCCATTGCTTTCATTGTATGAATTTTCTTTAAGCAGAATAAAGAAGATACAAAACAGAATCCCAAAGTTAATATAAATGTTTAGACTTTCTGTTGTTTGGAATTATCCACCCCACAATTCCCCTCAAATACTATAAACAAGCACAGCGGGCGGGGAGGGGTTTTGTTCTCACAGACTTCGCATCTCAAGCCTAGAGAAGGTCAAAAAGCATATCAGAGCTGCCTTTGTCTGTCACATGATCATCTTTTCAGACCAGAGGGTTTTTGCACAGACATACCTGGCATCCTTTACTCGTTCATTAGCTTGATAATAACCAGCAATCACATAGCTATTATCTTTGCACCATGAATCAATCTGAAAGAGGAACAAAAATTGGGAAAAGATAAATGATCTTCTCCTTAAATATCAAGTCTTAATAAACACAGGAGACCCCTCCCTCCCAAATGCTGAGACAATACACCATATAAACCTGTATCCTTCTCCCCAGAAGGGCTATGATAATGAAATAGGTGTTCACAGAAGAAAGGTCACCCCAACTTGCTTTCCACGGTCCATGCAAGGTCAGCGAAAGCACGAAGGAGCACGGGTCCCTCATTCTCACTGTGGTTGGGCGTCTTCCTCTAGATGAGGACTCTGTAATTGCCAGAAGGGGTGGGTCGGACTAGATGTAAGGAATGACCTCCTTGTCAAGTCCCTGGAGAAGGCCCCAATGTCGAGACGTATTAAACAGGTGCAGTGCCATGGGGAGGTGGGATAGGGGAGACCATCTGTACCCATTTTCTCTTATAATATGAAGAAGTGAGGCATTCTGGGGCTTGAAAAATAGTTAAGATCATTTAAATCAATCCTTCATAGATAAGCAGACCAAAGCTCAGAGGTTCAAAGTTTGAACAGCCACGTAGCAGAGCTCAGCTGGGAATCTAAGTCTCTTTTGAAAACAAACCCTTTTATATTATACTTCAGTTATTTCTAGCCAACATACCATGAAAAGCCCTTCATACTGGAACAGGCACCCACACAGGTGGGCAAATGTGGGCAGGGATGCCCCTGTGCACACACACTCAACTTCCTGGGGCATGTTTTTAATGGGAGCATGGTGGCTGACTTTGAAAGTTTTTTGTCTGTTTTATAATGCCACTCCTTTCTCATCAGATTTAGCTTCCTGCAGGTCTAATGCCATTGTTAAAAACAAAAGGTCATCTTAACTGTTTTGCCATAATGCAATTTTAATAATACACTGCAATAAATTATATTCTCAGTCTGCAGAAGAGGAAAACAAAATTGATCCTTGCTTTTTTCAGTGAATTAACTGGTTAAAAATGTTTTTCTTTTTTTTTGTTTAATATAGCCCTATGGCTCTTTGTCTTGAATTCAGGTTTGGACCTAAGACAGTCTCCTTTATGACTAACAGCAGACATTACAAAATGGTTTCAGTTCAAGGTTCCCTGGCTTTCATAAGGATTAGAATAATTCTGGCCTCCTAAGAGCTCACAAATTACCATATTGGGTCAAAACCAAGACTCACTAAACTAATTAGATGTTTTGGTCATCCACTCAAAAGATTAGGGCTATGTCTCCAAAATATTTATAATGGCTCTTTCACTGTAACTTTACTGCAAATGACTCTCAAAATTACTTGCATTTTGTTTGTCACCTCTTAAAAGAATAGGTTCTAGAAACTTTCTATTGCTGCTTACAGCAGCAATTTCTTTCATTTTTAAACTTACCTCTATGCAGCACCAAAAGGTATAGCCTAGCTTTAAAAATGTGGCATTTGGCCCCATTCTCTAAACTCAGATCCATTAGCTTAGTCTCCCCTTTAGAGTAGCCATCCAAGCCTTTGTTTATAATCAAAGACCAACCTCTTGAGTGTGTCCTCACTCCAGGTGACCCACACCTCTGCCCACTTTGGCGTCCCTCTCCCTGCCCACGGGTATGCGTTGTCCTTATATCCTGAGACAGAACTAGAGATGTGTCCCAAGTTTGGCTACTGTCTTAGTTCCTTATTGCCCTTGTAACAACTTATACAAACTAAGTGGCTTAATATGGAACAAATTTTTTGTTTTATAGGTCAAAAGTCTACAGTGTCAGGACTCATTCCTTCTGGAAGCTCTAGGGGAGAATCCTATCCTTGCCTTTTCAAGCATCTGGAGGTCACCTCCATTCATTAGCTAGTGGCTGCATTGCTGGGACCTCTGCTTCTAGCATCATATCTTTGACTCAGTGAACTTCTGCTTCTCCCTTTTTTAAAGAAAGATTTTATTCATTTTTAGAGAGAAGGGAAGGGAGGGAGAAAAAGAGGGAAAGAAACACGGATCAGTTGCCTCTCACACACCCCCAACCAGGGACCCGCCCACCACCCTGGCAAGTGCCCAAGCTTTGGCTTTGCAAGACAACGCCCACCCTCTCAGCTGAATCAGTCAGGGAGCTCTGCTTCCCTTGTTTAAAGACCTTGCACTGGGTCCATTAGGAAATCCAGGATAACTTCCCCATCTCAAAACCCTTAGCTTAATCTCATCCGTCAAGTCCCTTTTGCCATGTAAGGTAACAAGGTCCCCGGGATTAGTACTTGAACATTTTGGGGGGCTATTTTCTGGCTGATCACTGCTATGTTTAATATAAGGCTAAGATAATTACTTGTTACCAGTGATGCCCTGACCATCCCCAGCAGCAGTTTTCAGTGAGCAGTCTAAGCAGCTTCTAGATCCCTTTCCTGGGCTGAAGTGTAGGGCTACTTAGCAAACACATTGCACACCTTGACTTACATTTTACCTGATAATGGCAAATTCCTGTACGGAAAACTTCAAGGGCCTAATCAAATTCCAGCATAAAAATAATGTCATGCGTGATCTTGAACTTCTAGCAGAACTCTCTGAAGTGGATACCCTAAAAGTGCATCAGGTCACAAAGCTCTGGCTTGGTTTTAGAAACTTATGAACGATTCAAACAAGAATAACCAAGTTAACTGTAAGATTGCCTGTGATGGGCATGCACAGCCTGTCCACAGCTGTCCAGATACAGACACAACTGACCATCAACTGAGGAATAGAGAACATGAAAGTGAGGAATTCAAAATGGCCCTACACTGGGAATCGAACTGGAGACCCTTTGGTTTTGCAGGCGGGTGCTCAGTCCACGGAGCCACACCAACCAGGGCAGGAATTCAGAATGGACTAAGGCCACCCTGCCAGCCATCAGAGCCCACAGAGGTAGGGTACACAAGTTTTAATAAGAAGGGATGAGTTTTTATTGATAGTCTTGAAAATGTTATCAGATATTAGGTGAGAGCGACCTGGGGTGAAGTCAAAGTCGGTGTGCAGAAGATGAAAGTGTGATGGGCTGGGGTGGGAATGGGGCAGGAATGACCTTCAGAACCATCCATCAAGCCAAAGGCTCATTAATAAAAATCCTAGTGGATTTAAGCAGTAGCTTGCTCAGCAATGGCAGGGCGAAGCAAAAGAACTGAAAGCCGTCTGACCTCTGTTCTCAGTGAACCCAGTTCCTTCTGCCTTGCTGCTATGATTCCCTACTCCTGTCACACATGTTGTGAACAATCAAAATGAAAATTACAAGTTTATAATAACACTCTGAAACCTGACATCAACTTAGTAAAGCTGACTCTGAATACACGAGTCCCAATTCTGCATTTATTTATGCAGTTTCTTTTACTTTTCAGAGGGAAAGGACACTTTTACCTTGTGATAAGCCTGCCACCCTGTATGTTCAATGCATTTTTTGACTCATTCCAGTGCAGATACTAGAACACTAAAGGTGCTGGGTTCAACCCACTCGTTCCCAATGAGACACAGCATAAAGAAAGTAGCTTCTCTCAGCAAACTTGCTAACATTTGCACACGTGAGACACCTTACAATTTTCAAAGCACTATCATCCACCTCACATGACTACACAACAGCCATAATGTAGGCAAGGCAGGGAACTGATAAGAGATTCTGAGGAGGGCTTGCCCCTTACAAGTTGAGGTTGTCTATGGCAATAAGCAGCCCTTGGAGGCTAAAAGTAAAAGGGTTGTTCATTTCACCGAGATGAAATGAATGGGCTCCTTCTCAAGTGGGATGCTGAGTTTTCCATGGAATGGAAAATAGCTGGATCCATAAAAGAGCAGCTCTGGAGGTAAATGGCATAGGGACAGAGGGGGAAGTCAAGGTGAAGAACTGAAAGGGAGACCCAGAGCAGTCATCTCCCTCTCCCAGGCTACACATGAATGTTCTGGAGATAAATACAGGACGGAAGGGAATAGAGGACTTAGGAAAGGGCCAGAGGGGAGCAGACTCTGCAAATGAGCACAGAGGAGGCCTACCTGGAGGAAGCAGAAAGAATTCTCACCAAAATCCTGGTGATTAGGCCGACTGGCAAATAAAGTCATCTGAGCAGAATGTAACCAAAAGCTGCTTCACTGTACTAGGAAATCAAAGAGCGGAAAGGGCATAAAGGGCTCAGAGAAACAGCAGGTTTATGCTAATTTTCCTACTAAAATGGGTTTTTGCTATTAGAAATAATTGTCACTACCTACGTCAAAGGGCTATAAGGATAAATAACAGGCATAATAAACAAATAATAAAAAGCACTCAGAAATACAAGGATTTTTTTAAAATGGAAAATTATAATGAAAAGCCTTTCAAGGGAATCTGATGTTGCTCTTTGACGGGCTGCATATCAAGCCAGCCTTTCCCACTTGTCAAAAATAAGTACAATATGAAACTCCCCAAACAGAAAAAAGCCACGAGAATAAGGCCTCCTCATTTATACAGTTTCGTGGATTCAAGGACTTTATTACAATTGCATCTTCCACAACTGACACACGGATATACTATGGCTTCTTGCATTGAAATCTTTCATCACCTTCAGGTTATAAAGTTGCTAAGTCAAAAGCTGAATGATATAAACTTACATACCTTAATTGTAATACAGAATATTTGGATGGACTCAGATTGCAAATTTTCCTTTATAACTTTACTCTGAAAGTTGCTGAAAAGAAGTTATTGCAGACTCTAGATTGGACTTAAATTTGCTGGGTGGGAGACTCAAACAACGAATGGGAAAGTGCTGGAAAACTGAGAGTTGGGAATGGACTGTAATGACTCTGGGTGAGAAAGATCAGGACAGGGCCTCAGCAGTGCCCTTTCTCTCTTAACAAGCTGGCGCCAGTGGGCCCATCCCTAAGGGTCAAGGTCTCCTCCGGGCATCTTACCTGCCCAGTTAAGTGGTTTGGGAAGCAGCCCTGCTCCATGGGGAAAATTCATGTAAAGGTGACTCGAATGCAGTTGTTTATAGTTAGTGTATTTAATTCTCCCAACTATTGCACTCCTATCTCATAACAGGAACATAATTCTTTAACTCTGTAAAGATTACTTAGGAATGAGAAGAATTAGTAATAATTTTACAATTCTAAGTGCAGTTCGAGCTTGCCTTTACCCATGTATTTCTGACAGGATTGTATATGGATTTAAAGCAACACTCCTTCTCCTTCTACTCTCTGGCTACTCAGTTACCCTGCAGACTCCTCTTATACCCACTCTGTAAGAGCTACAGCTCCACAGGTTTTTGCTCATGACTCTCTCCTCATTCCACAGAAAGTCCTGGCCAATAAGACCTGCTCTTACGGCTTCAAAAGTCATTGAGAAGCTACTGGTTCCCAATCTGTTTCCAGTCCATCCATTTTCTGGAGTCCAGATGCATTTCAACTTTCAATACTATGCTGTCTTCACTTTCCCTCAATAAAGGCATCACTGTCCTCCCAATGAATAACTCAGAAACTGAGGATCCACCCTTGCTTCCTTGTCCGTATGTTTGCATTTGATTAGTTACTAAGTGCTGTGGATTCTCCCTCCTGGGTCCCCCTGATCCTTCTCTGTATTCACAATGCACTCAGTTTAGGCCACTCTCTGCCTCCAGGCTTGTAGGCACTCCTGTCTCTAACATCCTCTTTGCTGCAGGCTAGAACCATCATTTCAAGAAACAAGTCTGACCAAGCAACTCTCCTCCAGTGGCTTCTCTCTGTCCTCATGATGGTGCTGTGTGTGTGTGAGAGATTAGCAAGGTCCTCTACAATGGTATCTGTCCACTGCTCACTTCTCTATCCCTGGTGCCTTTACACTCCAGCTCTTCCTCCACCCCCAATTTTCTCCTGGTATTTGCACATGCTGGTCCCTCTGCCTTGAATGCTTTTTGTCTACACCTTGGTTTACTATGGCTGGTCCACGGGGCCACTACTTGCCTGTCTCTTTTTCTGGGTAGTGTGGCTTCCCTAACTCTGTAAGCCTGGATTAGCTGATTTTTCTCTTGGATCCCTCACAATTTTCTCCTTAATCCCACATGTGGCACTTATTCTTTGGAACTGTACTTGTGTACTTGACCCAAGTCCAACTGCTAAGCAGTACTGTGTTTGATCCACAAATATATCTCTCCATCACACGCCTGGCACTATTGGAGAAATAAATAATCCTGTATTAATGCTACTGGTAAGTCTAGTTCCCTGCAAATGAATGCACTACACGTCCAATCACCCTGCAATTCCCTTGATAACAGAATAATTAAGACAGTTGGTTGAAAAGACTTGTATTAAAACATACACACACATACCCCAGTGATGTTTCGGTACTGATGATACATTTTTTTCAGAAACTAAAATGGTTGATTTTATAATTTTTTATCTATCTCCTGCCCAGAAATGACATGAAGAAATTCACACAATGACTCAGTTTAATATGTGCTCTGTAACCTTGGACGAGGACCATTTGCCCAAAGGTACTTCCTGCATACCAAGAATTTACATGCGTGTCATAATCAGGTAAATTGTGAAATGGATTCATTTTACTTGGTGGGAAATATAGCAATAGGACTTCTACCTACACCTTCTCAAACTTAACTACTTTTCATGTGATTTAAATGTTTTTAGTCAAAGTTTATACTTAAATGAGAAATACACAGTACCTCTACTCAGGTACCGAGGCAGGTCTGAGACTAGTTTATTTCTCTCGAAGTTTTTAACAACTCCCTGGAATTTACAAGTGGTCTTTACCTCTTAGTTGATTATCATCTCAAAAACCACTGCCTAGAATTCAATTATCATCCAGTTTATCGGTGACCTAAGTCTTCCCCATTGTGCTTCAATAAAGCAGTCACTGCAAGTACACACAGAAAAGCGTGGTGGATACAAGGTTCGGCTGTTTCCGCTTTTTGATTTCACAAAGTCTTTAGCTTTTAAAATCACTGCAGCATGCTAGTTAAGTCACTAATGGGAACAGATACATTCTCCTTACACACTGTTCACACACACTCAAGGAAGGAGAGCAGTGTGATGTCAACGCCACCTCTCCAAATGTGTCTCAACTGTGAGATTCCGGAGTACCAAACCAAAAGAACCACAGCCTTTACACCCACATCAGATAAGGAACCGGCTCTGTGAAGGTGCTCACGAAACCAAACTCCAGCGTTTGGGTCTCAACGCATCAAAACTTCCCGCGACTCAAAATCCCAAATGTAAACGCCTTCGAATTGTTACCCAGTTAATGAAAGATTGTTTCTATAAAGGCTACTGGTTTGAGAAAGCTAATATATCATTCATCGCCTAAAGCGCCTTTAAAAACACCCACGACGGTTAAGGTGGCTCCTTGGGCCGCTATTACGAGCTGCCATCTGCTGGGCGCTTCCCAAGCGCCGGGCAAAGATCCACGCGCTCTCGCGGGTCATCCCGTTCACCGTCACGGCGACCTCCGTGGGTGGGTTCTAGGCTCCCGCCGGACACCTGTCAGCTTCCAGCTGGGAATGCGTGGAAGCCGACTGCAAGCCAATCTCCGAGGGGCGGCCAGGTGCCGTGCCCGCGCTTACCAGGGTAAGAGCCACCTCCAGCATGGGAGCGAGGGCCAGGGTGCCGTGGAACAGTGGAATACAGTCCACGAAGAGAGTGTGGTGGGCGCCGGGGCCGCTCAGGGGCAGGTGCTCCTTGCGCGGCTTCTGCTTCTCGGCCACCAGCAGTCCATTGACGGCACAGTGGGGATACTTGGCTCCATGAAGCACCATCTTGCAGTAGGCCTGGGTGGTCAGCTTCACCCCGGGCATCCTGAGCCCGGGAGGGCCCCGGAGGCCCGGGGCGCCGGCTGAGGCCTAGACCCGCTGCCCGGCCGCGCGACGTCTAAGCGGAAAAGTGGGACGAGGCGAGAGCTGCTCGGAGCGGCCCCGCAACTGGCGGAGGTCCCCACAGGCTCACCCGCGTTTTGGACTGGTGTCTTGGCCACAGACTCCGGCTCGAGGAAGTCGACACGCGAGCGTCAGGATTTGCTCCCGCAACTCGCCGGGCGCCGCAGGAAAGCGGTCCCTCAGTGCCCGCCGGAAAGCAGCCCAGCCCAGCGTTTTACGACGTTCGCGGCGCTCCCCTCCTTCCTCTCCAGTGACCTCCAGCGCGGCCGGGCGCGAGGTGGAGTCCTCCTCGATCCCGTGGTGCTCTGCGGCGCGGCCTCTCTCTCTCTTCCGGTCGCGAGCAGCCAGGGTGTAGAGGGCGGTCGCGGTGGGCACAGCGGGCTGCGGAGTGGCAGGTGAGGCCTCCGGCGGCGGCCGGCCAGCGCCCTTGGGAGGCCGGGGAGGGTCGGCGGGCGGAAGCCATCGGGCCTGAGTGCCCGAAGCCCAGTGGCCCGGAACTAGCAGGAAGCGGTGTTTGGCCTTCGGACCCGTTGACATTGAGACCGGACAGTGGGGGTTCCGGACTTAGGGTCCGCAGATTCGTGTGGCCCAGAAACATCCGGCCTGGCTCTTCTTACTCTGCCCTGCCCGTGGGCAAGGCCTGAGGTCTGACCTTGGAGCGTCCGCTAGCCGAGGGCGCGGGCACAGGCAGAAGGGGCAGGTCGTCTTGCTGGCCTTCGGGGAGCGGCCCTGGGGCCTGCGCTGCAGGCGCGGCTCTAACTCCTTCAAGCGACGTCTACGCGACCTCCCCGGGTTTAACGGGGCTTGGGTAGAGGCGCTTCGCTTACCGCCTTGGAAGGCATCCCGCGTCCGCCCACGCGCGGGCCAGGCTGCGGGAGAAGATAAGCGACAGTGGAGCGTGTTCAGCTCTGACGTCACCTTCGTGTTTATTTTGCCCCAGTGGGGGTGTTTTCTGAATGTGTTGGGGATCGTAGTCATCGTCATCAGACCCCGGAAATGTGCAGTTTTAGAGGAGGGATATAGGGGAGACGGACCTGAATCAGGAAGGGCCTAGAGGAGGCGTTGGTCACCCAGGTCACCCGTTGTCTGCAAGGATTGGAAGTGAACCAGGCTGGTATTTGCAGCCTTTCTCCCCGATTTGCCCTTTCTGAATACTAAGCTGAAAGCAGCACATGCCACAATTCCTTGAGCCGTTTGTTACCTTTTCCCTCAAAACAATGAAGCCCAACATGGCACCACAATGCTTTCTTTACCTTTTCTAGCTTTTCAGCCTCGTTAAACTTTTTTCTGATTGTTTTTTAAGGAAGCCAATTTTCTTCTAATTGCCTGACGTGTGTGTGTGTGTGTGTGTATAAAATGGCACTTGGTTTTTATAATGAAGCTCCATAAAGACTTGCTGACTACTAAGAAAAACCTTATCCTAGGTTATTTTGTGAATTCAGGGCCAGTCACGAACGAATCATTTATACTGGAGAGAAGGACATAAAAGAATTGCACTGACTTTGAAGACACACTGGAGCAAAAAGAAGAATCGTTCCTAATGGGCATTTGTCCCCATTCGTAGAGAAGGTGTACATTTTTGTCTTTCAGAATGTTGACTACCAGAGTGTTTAGCCTAATTGGCAAGCGAGCAATTTCCACCTCAGCGTGTGTGCGAGCACACGGTAAGTTACCTTGTTTTACTTTTAAGTATGCTGAGCTAATTTCATTTGGCCCCTGCTATGGTGTAAGGCCCTGTGCGGGAGTATCAAACACAGATGGTTAAGATTCTGATCCTGCTGCTGAGGGATTTTAGGGGAGGGATGAGTATTTTAACAGGGGATATTTCGTTATAGATTAAAGGCTATTAATGAGTCATTGAATTCTAGTCCTGGATCTTTGTTTATATTAATATTTCCTCCTTTTTCCATTCTCTTCCATTTTTTTCAAGTCCAACTTCTACCCCTTTCAAGAACTCTTCTCCACTATACCTGATTTTAATGTTCTCCACCCCTTCCAAAAATACTTCCAACCACTTAACTTTAATACTGTTTAGATTGTTGGGACAATGGAAGGGAAAGGGCTTGGGCTTCCTAACCTGAGCTGGATTTAATCTCATTTTAGTTTTGGACTAGCTACTTAAGTTTAGGAATCTGTTGTCTTATGTGAAGAGCTTAGTTCTGTGTTTGGCGAGCAATTTTAGTTTTGTACTTACGAAGCATCTTCTTTGTACCAGACACTGTCAGGCACTAGGAATAAAAACAATATGAAACATGGAATCTTTCCACAAGAAGGTTTGTAATCTGAAGAGGGACAGAGACATGAAGATAGTGTTTCAGTAGCAGATGGCCCCTAAGGAGAAGCACTTAGCTTTGCTTGGGGTTCAGTGGAAGCTTCTGGAGGATGGGCTTTGCTTTGCTGAAGGACTAGCATGTTAAACCTCACATTCAGAGGGGAATGGCATTCCAGGCAGAGGGAAAGTGAGCAAAAGGACGAAACGCAAGTCAGCATGGCAAGGTGTGCTACTGAGGGATCAAGTGCAAGGCTCGAGTGGTGGGTGATGAACTTGGGAGAAGGTTTATCTATCTAGGGGCTCCATAATCAGTAATTTCCATTAACTGCTTTATGTGTGACTTTCTCCTTGAAATTGTGTCCTTTATCTAGTGATACTATTATCTTAAATTACTCTATATTTCTTATTGCCCAGGATAACACTATGGATACAGACTGTAAAACAGATCATTGTAGTTAGAGTATTGTTGAAATGTCTGTTATTTAAACAAACAAGTAATAGAGAAAAATTTATTGTTTCATACATGCTGAAAGAAACACTTCCATTAAAAGTCTAGGAGGTCATTCTGATAGTTTTTTGTTCATTTAGCTTGTTTGGGGTATAATTTATGGAAAGTAAAAGGGACCTTTTCTAGGTGTAATGTTCTGTGGATTTGGGTAAATTCACACAGTATGTAACAAAGACTTCAGTCAGGACCCACAACATCTCTATCACCCCCAAGTCCCTTCATGTCCATTTGATCATTGTCTTTTATATGAAGCCAACTTCTATCTCCTTGTAGTGGTACTGGCTGTGACTTACTCTTAGGTATTGTTTTTGGTGAGGAAGCAAGATCAAATCAGTCCCTTCTTGAAAGCCTCCAGTGCCTAGTCATGTGTAGAGCAAGATCTGAAGCTGGCCTTTCTGATTTTATCACATCACACTCAAGCAAACAGCCCAACCAGCCCTCCTGTTTGCTCAAGGTCCCACCCTCCATTGGTACAGTATTTTGTTCCTCAAGCACACACATCAAGTTGGCCCCTCCTGCCTTAGGTCCCTAGTTGTGGATAGTTGCTTTTCTCTAATTGTCCCCTTCCATAGAAACATTATTTTAGAATTACCTTTCCTGACCATCTGTTCTAAAGATGGTCCATCCTACATCACCCTGCTTTGTTTTTCTGTAGAGCGCTGATATTCTGCAGGTTTGTGTATATGTTTGAGTATTGTCTGTCTCTGCCTCTAGAGTGCAAGCTTTTTGAGGCCAGGGACCTTGCCTGTCTTACTCATTGCTGCATCTCTTAGCATGCAGTAGGCAGATGGAGAAGACTACAGCCCATTAGATAAGTCTTCTTTAATTTTTAACTTCTAGTTGTGTAATTAATATATGAACTGTTATTCACATAAAATAGTAACACTCTACGGAGTGCCATTGGTAGCTGCTGTTGTCAGTTTGGATATTTGTGGTGACAAATCTGATTGTGAAGGAGCTCAAATTTAACAGATTTTCTCAGCAGAGGCCCAGCTGAAATTCCATTCAAGCGGAGGATAGAAATGACAAAGCATTCACTAGAGAGCAGGATCTTTACTATTTTTCTCTTTTTTAAAAGGAATGTTTGATATGTTAACATTTTGTTTTCCATTTCTCTCCATTTGCTGGGGGACCAGGCCCAAAATGTTGAAGAACCTGTAGCAGCCCTGAGATCCCAAATTCGCCGTTCTTATTCTAGAAAATGCAGTTTTATGCTTAGAGTGCTTCAAGGTTATGAGCATTTACAGTCACGCCCTGCATAATGACTGGGATACATTCTGGCAAATGTGTTGTTAGGTGATTTTACAAACCTAGGATAGCCTACCGCACACCTAGGCTATGTGGTATAGGCTATTGCTTCTAGGCTACAAGCCTGTGCAGCATGTCACTGAACAAAACAACATGAGATTAATCAAGCACAAGACAAAACGATGTAATCAAGAGAGCAGTGAACATGAGATGTATGAGGCTGCTGCCAGGCTGCCAGTGTAACACAGCATATTGGGGGTTTTTTTTTGAACCAGGGTGGGGGAAAATATCAATTGGTTGCCTCCTCATATGTATCCTCACTGGGGATCGAACCTGCAACCTGGGTACGTGTCCTGATGGGGAATTGAAGCCACAACCTTTGCTCTATGGAATGATGCTCCAACTGAGCCACACCATCCAGGGTTGTCATACCGTTTTAGAGAAAATTTTTAGAAGTACGAAAAGTACACTATAACAATAAAAAGTACGATATAGTAAATACATAAACCAGTAACATAGTCATTTGTTATAAAGTATTATACATGCTATACTTTTACACGATTGGCAGCGCAATAAGATTGTTTACACCAGCACCACCACAAACACATGTGTAATGTGTTGTGTAAAGCGCTGTGCTGCAGTTTCAGGCAATGATATCACTAGGCATATATGTAGATATTTTAAGATTTTACTCATTTATTTTTAGAGAGAGGGGAAGGGAGGGAGAAGGAGAGTAACATTGATGTGAGAGAGAAACATTGATTGGTTGCCTCTCATGTGTGCCCCAACTGGGGTCTGAACCCACAACCCAGGCATGTGCCCTGACTGGGAATCAAACTGGCAACATTTAGCTTTGCGGAATGATGCCCAGCCAGCTGAGCCACACTGGTAAGAACTTCACTAGGCATATTTTTAGTAATTCGTGTGTAAGCTGAGTGCTAGTATACAGCCATTATTTTTAGTTCACTCATCATTTTATAGAATCTTAGAATTGTAAAATTGGAAAATAATTCTAGTCATTTTTATATCAGATCTTTTTGGGTTAAGGTAGAGTATAAATATGTAATTGGTAGTTATTTGCATGGCAAAGTAAGTGTCTGGAGAAATTATATTTTGTTTTAGGCTGAAGGTTTATTTCACTGTTAACGTGGTTTAGGAGATTTTAACCATTGGCACTA